TATTAGAACTTTGAAGTTTTGGATTATCAGATCATCGAGTGAGCCGTGGACTTTGTCGACAGTTGCTCTGATGGGAAGCTTGAGTCAGCTCATCTGGTTTCAAATGATTTTTCCGTAATACAGATATCGAGGACGCTTGGCGCGGAATATGGCGGTTCAATCGGGCTGCTGTTCTCTTTGGCAAATTGTGCTGGTGCTGCTCTCTATATAGTAGGATTTGCCGAGACAATCAAACAACTGCTTATTGAAGCTGGGATCACAATACTGGACGGAAGCGAATGGGATATTCGTCTTGTGGCTGTCAGTAAGTAACGATGCGAGTTAAATCTTACCATTAGCTGAATTTTGGGAAGAATGTCGGGGATTTTATGTCACTGGGAATGGGCACTGAGCTGAATTTGTGGTTTGTTAGGGCATTCACCATCGTGGCATAATTTTCAAGAGAGAAATTAGTGTACAGATTTCTGGAGATTGACTTAGAGGGGGCAGTTTGCTAGCTCTAATCGTTCATTGCTCATCTCTTCTGTGGAGTTCTGTGAGTTACTGTAAAGCTATGCAATATCACGAGCTTCGCAAGAGTCTGCAGGCCTCAGCAAGGTGGGACGTGTAAATGAAGGAGAACTGATAAGAGAAGCTAGGACACTAGAAGAAATGCCCCCCCCCCCCCGAGCAAACAGCGCCTGCCGCCTTTACCTGAAAGTGATCAGCTGTGCAACTTGAACAGTGTTGCTACACTTCATACTGTATCTCATGAAGTGAATTCTGCCAGGCAAGCTGGCCGTTTCACACTCTTGGATCTCACGCACGCAAGCACGCATTTGTAAATCACAGGTACCGAGGAGTTCAAAGTAAAGTAGTATCCACTTACCCCCGCGAAACAAATCCGACCGCAACTATTGGAAAAGTGTCTTTTTTCTGTCGCACCTCCTCTAAGCATGAAAACGAAATAAATATTGGCCCAAATATCGGTCTAATTTCAGTTACATGCTTTGTTCTGATGGCTGTGATTGTTGTGTCGCCTACACTCGAAAGTAGACTACAGCAAATATTGCTCATTCCTCTGATTATATCTGTTCTCAGTTTCATCATCGGATCATTTATTTCGACCAAGAACAAGGTCGCTCATGGATACACTGGATACAAATGTTAGTTTGAACAAGCAGTTTTCTTTCAGTCTTGTCTTACTGCGCTTGATTCATAAAACCCCCGTAGCAGGGCACACTACCACGTCGTGAAGTTGCTTTGAACAAATTGTCTTCAAGACTTCCCAGTCCCTTGATAAAAAACAAAAAGTCACTAAATCTCCTGTATCAGGGCACACTATCACTTGCTGCTAACATTTGTGCGTATGTACAACCTACGCTCATAAATTCTTGTTCTACTACCCTTTCGAAACTATTTTCCCCCCCTCCCCACAACGATGAGCGGAGTAGGCCATACAAAGAGAAAGGGAAAAAAACACTACGAACTAAAAAATTGCTTCCGCAGCGGCTGAACTCAATCTACACGGGCTTCCGCTTGACCGTTGAGACCCCCTCCCTCGTGCGATTTTATCAGCTATAGCCCAAATGGGAAAATCCATCTCAAAAAATTTTCACGAATGGCTAATCCGATCATTGCCGCTCCTCCACAACCATCATCTCATTTCCTTCGTTGTTTTTTTCACAAAGCGCCATGTGAATTGTCTCCTAATGATTGCCAACTTCATTTCAATGAGCCCCACTTAAGAAGAAGCGTTACCAGTGACGGACCGCTGCTGTCTATTAGGTTTGAAACAGGGAGTGGTGTATCTGTTTTAGGGAGAACACTGGAAGCTAACATGCTGCCAGATTTCCGAAATGAACACAACTTCTTCAGTGTCTTTTCTGTGTATTTCCCTGCAGCCACCGGTATTATGGCTGGAGCCAATATCAGCGGGCATCTCAAGAATCCTCAAGTACGTTACCAACTATGTGTGAGAGTTCGTTTATCCTTTGAATTATACGTTTTTGTTACTGCTGTATGATAGGAGGCAGGTTAACACTTCCTGAGAGATAAGGATATAGCGATCGCCATTGATCACTATCCTCTTGGGGTGCGGCACGCTTCTTACTTCCATTCAGAATCGTAGAGGCTTATTGAATGCGATGTGGCCTATGCAATGACTTGCGGGGCCAGCCGATGTACAAGTCAGTGTTCTTATCCTCCCAGACGAATCTGGTACCAATTACCGTCCCCGAAGGGTAGGAGGCTTGCTTGTACTGGGTGGGCGCCGACCCGGGATTTCACCCCCGAACCACTAGAACAGTCTAGTAATATTGCATATTCGGACTAAATTCAGACTGCTATTCCGCGAGGAACATTGGCAGCGATTGCGGTTTCCAGTGTGATCTACACAGCTTTTGCTTTGGTAGCTGGAGCCACGTATACTCGAGATGCAGATGGCGTCAATGAGCCTGATCAAGACAATCCACCAGACTGCTACCTCAACGCGTCGTGTCCATTTGGACTTCATAACTACTACCAGGTACTCTCATCACCGACCTCAGTTGCCCTCATACCTATTCTTGCACTGAAGCTCGACACGCCTGGTCTTGAGAAAGTTCGCCTCAAGCTCATTTGCATTCTTTCCAGATGGTGACAGTGACAAGCGTCTGGCCACCACTGATCACCATTGGTATCGTGGCCTCTTCACTATGCTCAGCTCTGACGAGTCTAGTCAGGCGGACCGAGGGTCTTGTCGACGCGACCGAGAGTATTTCCAGGTAATTCTTTGCCTTCAAATCTCGAGCCCTACTATTATAGCAAGGGCTTTGTGTTGTTTGCTCGGAGATTTGGCCCGAAGAGACCGAAGAGTTACTTGAGAATGCCGAGCTAAGTTTGAAATGGTTAGAGCACGGGCCACAATATGCAGCCTCTTATGGCATACCTAGTTTGAAGTTGGTTGGGCGCCCCGGGTGGTGCCAAGAATATTTTGTGATTTTTTCAAAAACAGCCGATACCGACCCGAAAAGACCGAAATTAAGGTCAACAACGGCTTGACAACTGGGATTGGGTGACACATACGCAGTGGGCGGGGCACACCACGAGTGCATTGTCCTTACTGCAGAACTTGAAAGTGGACTTCAGTCAGGGATCTAACTATCCCTACTATTTCAACTATTGAGGACAGGGCTGGTCGAGAGGAGGATCTCTAAGGTAAGGTGAGTCTCGTCAATGTGTAGGAAAGGAAGGGGGAGGGTTCCGCCACAATCTCCATGAGCTCCACATATTGGAGTATACTCCTCATCATTACGGACTGTCGGGGCGGGTCAGTGCGGCTGCGTTTTCCGCGGTTCCAAAGTCTTTCTGCACCAGTTGTTGAAGCGATCAAATGACATAACAGCATTATATCCTTCGTATTACTCGTTTTCTACCACTTTTTGTCGCATACGCGCTTTAAAGAAAAGGCTGAGAACGGCTTCAAACAGTGTGCGCACTCCTTCTGGCCGATACGCCCCGACAGTCCGTAATGAAGAGGAGTGTATATTTGAAAAAACAAACGATGATTTTAATCCCAGAGTGGCCAAATACTGGAGAAAACATGCGGTACAAAGTGCGCAGAATTGGAGAGATAAAATGAGCTGAGAAAAGCTTATTTCTGGGGTGGGAGGGCGGGCGTGGAGTGTAGGCTAGAATGAAAAATTTATCATCCGGTTCCAAGACGAACCAGAAAAGCTAAGAGAAACATAAGCTCAGGGAAGGAAAAATACGAAGCAGGATTCCCCAGATTCACAGGTGATCATCGATCGAAATGTGGGAATCGGACCAGTGCATCGCGTTTCTCACAGCGTCGGAAGTGGGTGCCGAACATACCAGTTCAAGATTACAGTTACTAGGAAGCTACACCTATCCTGTTCGGCTGGCGTGTTAAAGGGGAATTCTGGGCTCTTGACGGGCACTCACATAGAAACGATGAAAATGAATGAACTGACTAGCGTATCTGTACCCAAATTATGAAAGGTAAAAATGAAAAAAATGAGCAAAGCGTCTTAGCTAAAGCAAAACGCTTTAAAGTCATAAAAACGATGAAGATCTACTGCCTTCACAGAAAAAAATCAATGTATAAGGAAACATTACTTATTGTTCTCTCTAGGGTATTGCTGTAGCCGTGACCAAGATGATATAACAGTTTTATTGGCTAACGTTTCGGCCTTATCGCCTTCGTCAGAGCCTGGAAAAGTCAAAAATCAAAGTGAAACTACCCTCGGAAATCATTTAAACCTCAGAAAAAGTTACTCCCAGCACCAGAAGGATCCAGAAACCTATCATAGATCACAAACCACAAAACGACTCACCTTGAATGTACGGCCGGTTTTTGCTTGAGACCACCGCTAAACTGACTCCCCGTGGGTGGCTTCAGCTGACCTGGCCCCTCGACTCGAAGCCGATGGCAATTGAAGCCCACACAGGTCAGCAAACGGGGCGAGCTCGTTTGTGATGGCCAGGCTTTTTCTCGCTATATCCTTTTCTTAACTCCTTCCCCTATGTAGTCCATGTCCATGTCTCAACTCTATCGTACTGAGGAGCCCGGGGGTTGGTAAGACATCGATGATTCGTCTACGATAACGGGCGAAACGGATCATCTGTGACGTGATGGTGTATTCCTTCCCAATATTTGTTTTTCTTGCGTTTACTAATGGCGCTCCCTTCTGTCCATTTGCGATTTAGCGCCTATCCAAAACGTCTTCCAAAGGATTTTGCCGCGCGCAAGTCTGGTGGTATCTCGCGTCAAAATCCTAACGTCACTCAAAACTCCACGCCTCCATAGCCACTGAACACCAATGACTGCCAGGGGGCGTCTCTAACCTACAAATCGCCTTATAGACCATCTAGGTGCTCTTTACCCTGGAGCACAGGGGCCGTCCAGTCTCCCCGATGTACTCATCCCCACAACTCGTGCATGACATTGTCATTATCATTGCCTTTTGTCTGCTTTAGGCGGTGTGCACGGATAAACTGATCCCCAAGCTCGCCCTACTTTGCAAAAGGTTATGGTCCCGGGAACGATCCACGAAGAGCATATGCACTTGCGTTTCTCATCACTCTCACTACTGTGATGATCGGTGAGTACCTCATAACTTCATATAGTCCAGTAGTGATGTACACTTTGATTTCTAGGCAACTTAAACATCATAGCGCCATTCATCTCAAATTTCTTCCTGTGCGCTTATGCTCTGGTGAACTACGCCTGTTTCATTGCGTGCTTGTCCCAAACTCCAGGCGAGTTTTGTTCTTTGGCTTGTTTTTGTTCTTTTCATTTTGATTTTTGATCTCTTTATGATTCTTCGTTATGCAGTGATATCGTCGCAACATCTGGGCGCGATGTCAGCAGGCCATGGTACCTAAGCCCGCATACGCGATGTGTTTCTACCGCTGGTTTTCCTTCCTTATATTGCTCACTAACGACACCGCCCGACTTGAATGCGCGGCTCAGTCAGGAGATCAGTTAGCAGAAACTCTATAGTCTAGTCGTTCGTAGTGGATCAATCCCGCCGACAAGACTCAGTTCGTCAATTAAAGTCCCTAGGAAGCTTTCTAACGAAAATAAGGCCTTGGAGTAGCTGCTATATTCAACGAACCTGCTATAATGTCGTTGAAGCTCTAAGTTTAGTTTTCGCCCCAGGCTTTTCGATGTCTACTCGCCATGGTTGTCGTTGCTTGGGGCTGTGCTTTGTACGTCAATCATGTTCGTTATGTCGTGGCCCACAACTTTGTTCACATGCGCCTTTTTCTTCGCGGTCTACACTTTTATAAGCCACTTAAAACCAGGTAGGTCGCTCCTATCTATAAGTGTCTTTCGGTGAGTGTCTTGTCTTTTGATATTATACGGCAATTCGACCTTTCAACCACGGTCGGTATACTACCGCGATGACCAGACTTCCGTCCCTTTCTCCGCCCATCTGACTATTGCAGAATTTCTGCATTTCAGCTCCATAGCAATTTCATCGTGTGAGCGGAACCGATCTCAACGCACCCCCTCCCTAATGGACAGCGGAGCAATAATAGACAATTTATAGTGTCCTTATTTCAGACGTCAACTGGGGTACATCCACTACTGCTACCACATATAAACATGCACTGAATGGAGTGATGAAGCTCACCAAGGACGAGCCTCACGTCAAGAACTATCGCCCGCAGGTGTGACCATTAGTTCTTCTAATCAAATCAAGAATAGCTCTGCACTTGCTGGTTACGTTATAGGCAGCGCCCACGTTCATTTGATGTTCCCACGCCCTCTTCATCATTCATAGACCCCCGCCCCATGAGGATGCAGAAAGTACTAGTTTTGCACCTCAAAAAGGCGAGAGGATAGCGCCGTTCGTTAGTGAAGAGTCGGCCACCCCGGCCACCTGGCCAGCATACGCGAGGTTTTCCCTTCACTACCTGATCCACTATTATGGTAAGCCTCCATAAGAGGCCATTGCTCATGAAAGCGGGGCTCAGCGCTTCATAGGCCTGAGGCCGAAAGCGTTATTTCATCCAGGTGAACGGGGCGGCATCCTCTTCACAAGTGGATGGCGCCATCCTCTCGTATTTTCGAGCTACGAAGTTGGTACATCCTCCACCTTTGTCGACAAAGCTACGATAACTAGGAGGGCGTAGGAACATCAAATGAACGCGGGCGCTGCTTTTATTGATGATACCTCATGTTTCCCCCAAGATCCGCTGACCAGGTGGTAAGGGGGTTAATAATTTGAAACCCTGGGGGGTAATTTTCGTGGTTGGGTCGAACCCACCAGGAAATTGGGGGTAACCGAGAAGAAGGTACCCGGAGAATCACAATCGAAAGAATGACAGTTTGACTTGAAGGGATACAATATGGAATTGATCAACTACGTCAGAGGTAGGACACGAACTCGATTCCCATTCAGAACTGTGGGACCTTTCGAATGCCTGAATAGTCCGTACAGAGAGTCGTGGGAGCTAGTTGATGTGTATTTTAGTTTTGGTACCAGTTCACTTTGGTAGCAAAAGAGGGCTGAGCGTATCAAATATTGTGAGTGATGGTCATTTGACGTTCGCCCTACTGCTTTCAAATACTGAAATACCTAACCCATTAAGTTATGCGACATCTAGGTGCTTGTACTGAGTGGAGTACCACACGAGAGGCTGTCACTGATCCAATTGGGTAGCAGTATCACTCGAGGAGCAAGTCTGCTGCTATGCGGAAACGTCATATATGAACCGGTTAGTCAATAATTCTTCTTTGGCTCAAGACGCTGGAAGTATTATTTTCGCTAATTTATTTTTTGGACTAGGAAAATTGAATTGTGAAACTCTCTCGAGGTGTGTTGGAAGCCAGACTGTAGGAAAACACTGGTGGGCTATAGTGCGAATTTCTACTAAAGCGCGGGATTACTGACTACACCTACGTTATTCATCGTCTAGTAGAAAGACCCAGATCGGAACAAGCCACTTCATTCAACTATAATGGATCAGGAGAACGCCATCAACCGCATCATGAATCTTTTTGGGAAGCACCTCTGCATCAACAACTTCCAGAAGTACACATTAGAGCCGCTCAGACAAACTGCTCGACTGTTCCCACCTCCATCCTGACTCCTGTGGGAGACAATTCTCAGTTGCCCGTTGCTGTTCAGAATCATAGGGGATCGGTCCTTTCGACATTGGTTTTCCTTCTCTATGTGGCTGCGTTCATACTTTGCGGCAGCGGCCACCAGCACCCACCATCGTCCAGGAGTACGGTATTGTGCAGTGGTACGGTGCAATTGCACGCCAACAAATACAACGCCTAATTCATGCTGTCCACCACCTCCCGCTACCCCCTCCTCTTGCCAACCTCTCCCCCCAACCCACCCCACGCACCCGCCACACCCACCAGCTCGCATAGCACACACATACCAGCCCCGCCCCCCCATATTCTCTCCCCCATCGCTCTTGCTCGATGGTGTTCGCTGGTTGACGCTAGATCAATATCTTTATTTTCCTAGTCCTCCGAGACGCTGATGGTCGCTGCGGACGCTGGTGGACGCTGACGGTTGCTGGCGGACGTTGGTAGACGCTTCCTGTCGCTAAAATATCTATATTTCCTAGCCGCTGACGCTGACGGACGCTCGAAACTCTGATGGTTGCTGGTGGACGCTGCCACGAAGTATGAGCGCAGCCTAAAGAGCTGCCTCTGACGCTGAGATATGCCTTTGATGGATCGATCCCAGAAAAATTAGAACGACTTATCACTCTGAATGAGATAGCTGGCTAACCGCGGAGTCGAGCTTACAAATCTCCACACTCTGTCGATCGTCGCCGAAGAAAAACACCTCTTTTCAGAATTACGGAATTCCCTTGCCTCGGAGCTAAGCTAGGGGCGGATGCAGGTGCAAAGGCCAGCACAACTGCAAGAATTAGCGGTGCATGGGACATGTGAGAGATCCTGAGTGATAATGAGAGTCGCAAATCTTATATGGGCAAACGAGAGTCTCTCAATAAAGTCCCCCCTATTTCAGAGCTCTGAAGAACTCAGCAAACAGTTGGCAACAGCTCGCAAAATCGAGGAGATGTCCCAGGCGGCGATACGAAGGCAACACGTCAAGGCTATCTGTAAGGTGGTCGTTGCTCCATCTTTAGAGAATGGCTGTATGATGCTCTATCAGGTAAGCCATGGACCCTTTCATCTATGCAAATTTCTCAATTTTTGAAATTTATTGATTGTTATTTTTCTATACAAAGAATATTCTCTTCATACTATCAAATTCGTCTTGATGATGTCGATGTCATTTCAGATATGCGGTTTGGGTCGAATGTCACCGAACATCGTCTTACTTGGTTTCATGCAAAGCGCTGTGAAGGATCGTGGAGCTGTAAAATTAGAGACGAGGAATGCCTATGTGCGAATCATTCAGTAAGAGCTTGTCTTTAGGAGAGACGGGCAAGAGAATCGTAACTTGCCGCTCCGCCGCGCGCTTCGATGGGCGCGGCGTTTTCTTAACTCTTGTTAGCCTGTCGACTGGAGCACCGGATTTCACATGGGCTACCAAACTGTGAACCTTTATGACTATTTCTGGTTCTAAATTGCCTTTGTCGCCATCTAAGACCTGGAACGATCGTCATTTGCGGGCGCGACTCGCACGTGACGCCCATCAGCGCGGAGGGTTACGATTCCTGACACGTAGCTAGTCTTTAGTTCCACATTAACGGCATGATGATACACAGACATTCGCAACTGCTACAACCCATTTCATAACGCTTGCAGAGGGCGTGTCCACAAAGTTCTTTGTCAGCGCGGCTACGAAATCTTTCTTGTCTGATAAGTAGCTCCGCCAAGTTCGCAATTGATTCAGTATCAGTTCATCCTATCCAGTTGCGGTGATATGGACTACACATTATGCTAATCGGGAGTTCCTAAAGAATGGAGAGTTCACACGGAATTAACCGGACCCTCGCGCACCTAGAAAGGGGCATCATTGTCTCCACACAGACATAGCTTTTGTTGGTCCTCACAGAAACACTGATGCTGACCTGTGTGGTTAACCACTTCCACTTATGGAGCAGGCAGATCAGTAGCTGCAGGGGAGTGCCGTCGTAGCCATACAAAAGTGGGCTTGCAATAGTTGATTGTTCTTTTTGCCGTGAACCGTTGAAAAATCTTGCCTTGAAGAATTCAGACAGTACAGGAACGAATTGGTTGCCCGGTGGTCCGAAGTTTGACGATTCCTTTCATGGGCCCTTTGCCGCCGCCGCTCACCCCCAGAAAAAATATGCTTCTCACATATTTAGGAAGGATGGTTGCTTCCGAGGAGGATATAGTGAATGGCAAGTGACATGCTTAGCACGTGCGTGGTCTGGGGGTCAAGTCCCGGATCGGCTCTCGCCCAAGCAAAGCAAGCCTTCTACGTTCCGGCGACGGTAAATTGGTACCAGATCGGTTTGGGATTATAATAACACAAGCTTGTGCATCAGTTGGTGCACGCAAGTCAGCTGCATGGGCCACGGTGTATTGAATAAGCCATACTATTCTCAGGGGAAGTAGAGCGTGTGTCGCAGCCCAAAATGGGATTCTTGTCGGTGAAGACTTTGAACTTTATTTCAGCTGCTTCAACCTGTAATATCTTTTCAATTTAGGCAAGCCTTCTACAGTGGTATGGGCGTAGCGGTACTCAGAACTAGCCCAAAAAATCCATTTAACGTTCCGTCAGGTGGGTGCTTCACTGACATGCACGGTGGTCAAGAGTAGGGTGTGGTGAGCATCTGAGCAAGACACCATGTTCATTCATAGCTTCTTTATAGCACCACCATCTGACGCTGAGAGTCAAGAAGAATCGACTGTGTCCAATAGTACTGAGCTGAGCAATATTTCAAACAAGAAATTCACAATTGACGTCTGGTGGCTGAGTGATGATGGAGGATTGACGCTTCTTGTGCCGTATCTTCTAACTCTGAAAGGGAGCCATCTCAAGGTCCATCTTCAAATTTATGAATTTCTCAGGATTAACTCCAGGTAATGCAGTAATGTTTCATCACTTCAGGGTGCTAACCTTCGCGTATTCACGATAGCTGCCGAAGGGGAATCTGTTTCTTCAGAAGAAAAGCGAATGGCATCGTTGCTGGAGAAATTCCGTATCCACTATAGCTATCTACACGTAGTTCCGGCATTTACAAAACCAGATGAGAAAATGTGAGGTTTTCTCGAAGGAGAATCCAGCGTTCTGTTTAAATACTCTGTTTGTAGAAGTAATCAGTTCTACAAGTCACTGGAGCAGTTCATGGGCGAAAACAACGAAGGTCTAATTTCCCGGGATGAATTGACCAGAATGCAAAACAGAACCGCTAGGCACATCCAAACGGGAACTCTTCTGAGGAACTTCTCCTCCAGAGCAGATTTAGTGGTCGTGTGAGTTCATTGCTTGTTTTCATCTTTCCTCTCCCATATTCCACAGAGGTTTATAACGGTAGTCCCGAGTTACGGCATAGTGTGCAGACTAGTAGAGGATTTCCTATCTAGTTGACCTGACACAATGCAGCTCTGCCTTCCAATCAATAGGTCCTGCAGCTAATGAGCCCACTTGAAACGCCTCTTTTGCCGCGGTTGCCGTAACTCCAAAGCACATCGTTGTTGGGGAATCCCCAATAGGGGGGGGGG